GGGCAATTTTAGTGATGAGTGCAATGGTAATCTTTCCAACTTGCCCGTTCAAAAAAAAAAAAAAATTGGACCATTAAAAACTCAAAATATATCTTCAGCCATAAGGAAACTCATATTTATTATATGGATACAGTTTTTTTTTAATTACAAAAATTTTAAAAATTGTACCTGCTTTTTATAAATTATCGTTTCAAAATTTAGGTTTTATTTGACAAAGAGTATTCGTTTTATGTTTTCAAGGCAATTTCTTTTACTACTTTAATGAAATAAAACTGAAGTGTATTATATAAATATATAAGAGAAAATTTGGAAAAATGCCTCTCTTGGCTTCTTAAATTTGAAAAATATTCTCCTTTTTTTAGTTTTGAAAAATACACTTTACTGGATTTGAAATTACTAAAATATCCTCATAAAATCTGAACAAAAAATTATATATTTTAAATAAAATTTAGTTTGTTATGATATATATATTTAGCATAATTTTTAGTGTTGATCATATCTTTTACAAGATTTATTGTATATTTGTTCTCAGATTATAGACAATCTTATATAATATTTATCTGAAAATATAATTTTATAAAAAAAAATATTTACTATTAATATGCCATAAAATATTTCTTAAAACGATTCAATTAGAAATTTTATATAAAATAAGGAAGTCCAAAAAAATAATTCATGAAATATCGTATCAACATTATAAGTTTCCTGACGTTGCTTCAAAAACTTGATACTCCTCTTTATATAAAAAATGTAGGGTGTTATTTTAAATAGTTTATAATGTAATAAATGTTGAAGATTATAAACGTCCTATATAACAAGGGATTTATCTTCTTTATAATTAGTAGTAAATTTTAAATTTTTAATCAGCAAAACAACTTTATCTCAAATTAAAAAAAAAATATTAATAATATTTACGAATGAATTAAATTTTAAATCAATAACAACTTTATTTCAATTAAAAAATATTAATAATAATTATATTTACGAATTAATTAATTTTTAAATTAGTAACACAACTTTATCTCAAATAAAAAAAAATATTAATAATAATTATATTTATGAATTAATTCATTTTTAAATCAATAACACAATTTTATCTCAATTAAAAAGAGAAATAATAATAATTTTTATTATATTTACGAATTAATTAGTTGTTAAATCAAATAAAAGCAAAACAGACTTTTTAACTATTGAAAGAGGTATTTTTCAAAAACCAAAAAATCAAAGTGTATTTGCAAATTTTCAAATATAATTGRTGTATTTTTCAAAAATTCCCAATATATAATGTAATTTAAAAAAAATGTGTGAGATATGATAAATCAACATTTATAATGAAAAAGTGAAATATATGGTTGACAAAAAAAATGAAAACATATTATATTAACTAACTGTTAATTGTTACTGTCCAATGTGAAACATTGTAACAACTTATAAAATTCGAATTCAATTTAATACCATGCTTTTTATTTACAAATAGTAAAGGTTGGACCTCGTTACCTCGTTTTTTCTTCTCGTTTTCAGGTGTTGCATTTGAAAAATGACCAAACTAAGCTACCAAAATGCGAAAGTCATAAACTTTCATACACGTAATTAATGGGTTATATAATTTGTCTTTCATATATAAAACACTTTGATGTCTAATCCCCACCAACACTCAAAACGATTGGTTCATCCGCTACCACTCACAAACGCAAACACAGCGTTTGTGGGTGATAGCGGTTCATGGCGTTTTACAACAATTATGTAAAACACTTTATATTGTTCTGTGTCGTTCCAACCTCTTAAAATCAAAAACTGTTTTCCACGAAAGTTTGCGGGTGCATGCGGTTGCAGTTGTTCAAAGAAATTAAAAAATAGATTTCTTTAACAAAAAAAAATTCATTTAAAAAATCAAATATAATTAATAAGCTAAAAATAATATTTGGATATTATAATTATAAAATATATCAACAATTTGAAACTTTATAATTAGTATATAATAAACTATCAAAATTTTGTATTTATAAAACTTTCAAACCATCATTTTTTGATAATTTTTTTCTTGATCATTGATTAATAAATCTAACAAACGAAAATGTTCAAAATCTAACATTAATCTCTAAAAAATAAACAATTTTTCATTAAAATCTAAATTTCATCTAAACCAATAAAAAAACAAAAATTGAACATTAGAAATATACTCATGGTTTTCTATAGTAAATTATATTGACTTAATG